GATGGCAGGAAAACGACTGCCACCGAATTTATCTCGGCGAGGAGATGACCCCAACAAACAGGCACCTCTACTGGCCAGCTCGGCAGAAGAGAGCTGCCGGGAAGATAAGATACGTATGGTTCGCTGCCGGCATTGTGCGTTGCCGAAAAGAAGACGGCCGGCCATCAAGTAATCTTGATTAATCAGGCATCGGATCTAGATGTTTTCGCCTGACTGTACAGGTCGCCTGTCATCGTGCAATCTATCAGGCAATCAGTCAGAGACGATTTAATATCGAAAAGAAAAGTCAAGAGGAATTTCTCCACGCGGGATATCTGTTGGCAGGAGAATGACTGCCACCGGATATATCTGGGGGAGGAGATGACTCACACGAACAGGCACTTATACTGGCTTGCCCGACAGAAGAAAGCAGCGGGGAAAATCAAATATTGCTGGTTTGCCGCTGGAAAGGTGCGATGTCGAAAAGAAGACGGACATAAGGTTATCTTGATCGAACAGGCCTCGGACCTCGATATATTTACCTGACTACACAGAATTCATGTACCCTTCATCCTTATCAAAATAACTATTAACAAAATTTCCTTCAAAGAAAGATTTTCCCTTTCAGTTGTATTTCTTCATTTTCACATATTAGCCTATGTATTATTAACTATATGCTTTCTAGATTTTGTTTCTTTATACACTTTCTTTTTTCTCATTCTCATTAATTGTAATAGCTTTTCTGTATTTTTTGTTTGTTTTAGTGTTTCTCTACCGAACTCTGACTGTTTCCTTCCAAATCCTTCTCATGTCTAGTACCCTAATCACCTGTCATGTTAACTTTCAATCCCTCCCCGCCCACTACGACGAATTCCTGCAATATTTCACTCAAAATTTTTACCATATTATAGCTATCTTCGAAACTTGGCTCAAACCTTATATCCCCTCCTCTTCTGTCTCCATTACAACCTCTTCCGTCATGACCGGGTAAGCCGGACTGGCGGTGGAGTAGCCATATTTGTCCACAATAGCCTGAAGACCCGAATCCTCGATTTATCCCCATCTTCCAACCACCCACAAATTGAATACCTATTAGTTGAAATCCTTTGTAATACTTATCCTCTCCTCTACGCTGTGGTATACCGTCCTCCCCTTGTTCCATTTCACATGTCCTTTGAATCTAGCCTATTTAATTTCGTTCCCCTGTATCTCAGAGTAATCATCTCAGGTGACCTCAATACCAATTTCCTATCTAACTCCAATGACAAACCCTATCTAGAAGACCTATTCTTCTCCCTTCACCTCTTTATCGTTCCTTTTTCTCCCACTCCCCATACTAGCAGGTCCGACACTTGGCTAGATTTCTATATTATAGATAGATAGATAAATAGATAGATAGAAATAATATATAATATCCGAACTCCTCCTATTCAGCCTCGAACTATCACTTTCCGCCATTTAGATTCCCTTATACGAGAACAAATATTACCTGACCTGGAAATCCTAGATTGGAATAAAATATATTCTTGCACTTCTATCGACTCTATGGTTGATATTCTTACTACCATTCTCCTAAATATCCTCAATACCCATGCCCCTCTCAAAACCTCTACATTTCGTCACCGGCCTGCTCCTTCCTCTAGTTTCCTCTCCCATTTTCCCCCACTTTGACTATAGCTGTGTGGTGTATGATGGCCTCTCTGTGGAGCTCCGTGATAGACTGAAAAGACTAATAAACAGCTGCGTAAGATTTGTGATCGGGGCCCCAAGATACTCCCATGTTTCTCACCACTACGCTGAGTTAAAGTGGCTTTTCCCCTCCTTCCGAAGACAATATTTCCTAGGTACGTTTCTCTACCAAATCATCAACAACCATCGTCCTTCTTACACCTACAACCTTCTCCAGTTCAAATCCCCAGTCCATTCCCTGTCCACAAGATCTCGACCTTCTAACCTTTACATGCCTTCTCACAGATCTGCCTCATTCCAAAATTCCTTTATTGTTCGTTCTGTCAATTTCTGAAATTCCCTCCCTATCAAAATTCGACATTCTCCATCCATATCCACATTCAAATCCCAATTCCTATCCCAAAAACAGTCAGATAGTTGCTAACCATTCGAGGTAATTTTAATAGAGAAGTTGATACATTTTTGTCTTTTAATTCTTTATTATTTTCTTAAAAGTGTATACTGTTCTATCAGTGCAAATAGCTTTAAGTGTATTGTCATAGTATTAATTGTTTTGTATATAGTTTCGTTTGTTTTGTTTATAGAATTTTTACCTTATATTTTTTTTACATTATTTCTTTTTTTTCGATTGATTTTATTTTGGCCAGATGTAATATTTTAATTTTGTTATTCTCAAGGGACTGTGTCCCAGAATAAAGTTATTTTTCTATTCTATTCTATTATGTTTTAAGTACACTAGGGTAAGTCCAAAAGGAACAAAGTTCCATATAAAAAATAAGGAGTTATCGTGTAGCACATTGTGATTCGGACCATACTCTGATTAGAATAAAAGTCTGTCAGAGGCTGTAGCGAATCCACCGAATTGGAGACAAGTGGAAAGAAAGAGATACGAAGTCCGTAATTAAAAAAAAAAAAATCTATAGTACAGACTGTATTCCAAATTGAGTTGAACAATAAACTCGAACCCTTGAATGTGGAAGGCCTCACGGTTGACCAACATTGGGAGGAGCTAGGGTCAGGGCTAAAAAAAATAGCTAAGGAAGTAATAGGGATTCAGGGAAAAAGAAAAGCCAAGAAATGGTTCACAGAAACAGGCGAAAAGGCGGTGGAAGAAAGAAGAAAAGTCCTCTGCTTAGCAACTGTCCAAGCTATGCTGGACAAATATAGAGCTACATGGAAAAAGACAAACAAATTAATAAGAACAACAAAAAAAGAATTCTCCAAAATTCTTTTGTTTTTGCTAGACATTATCATATGGTAATATTGCATCTCATGACGGTAGGGTGGTAAATGAAAGAGAGAAGAAAAAATATAAAAGTTTTTAGTACGTAACTAATTACGTAGACTTGTAGAGGCCTCCTGTGTTATACGTGTTCTCCCTTAGAAGGCCCTGAGGCAACTTAAGGGAGTAGGGGGCAATGATAGGTAACTATGGCCTCTACCTATAAAACTATCGTTGTTTACACGGTAGTCTTAATGTTAATAAACAAGTAGTTACTCACTTTGTTTATGTTGAGCTGAATAGTCAATTGATAAATGTTGAATTGTCACTGTTTTATCGCACTAAAGTTCACTAATTAACTGGTAATTAAGTCACTTTGTGGGAGACGGTGTAGCAGGTTGGTAGATAGAAACTGGCGCGTGACGCAACGAAATAAAAGTCAACCACTCCCAGGCCGGATTCGAACTGGTGTCGCTAGGCGCGAGGATACGAAAACGGGCAACGCTCCAACACTCGACCATCGCGACCTTGTAGGAGGTTAACCAAAGTTTTGAAGGAGAATAAGGAGCATCCAAGAGTAATAAATGAATTTCCACTACTTTATTTGTCCTCGAACATGGCTCTAGAAAATACGCCTGGTATCGAGAAAATATATTAAACAAAGAGATTGTACTACAGTATCGTGAAGATAGAGAAGCCATACCCTAAAAGAGAGATCGTGCAGTGCCACAATTGCCAGGCGTACGGAAGCACGAAGAATTATTTCCTCCACTTGCCGCTTTGCGTGAAATGTGTTGACCAACACAGATCAGCAGAGTGGACCAAGCTGATATAAGATCCTGCAGTTTGTGCCCTATGCCAAGAGGGACACCCGGCCAACTACAAAGGTTCCCAAACTTATAAGAATTTCAAATCCAGATACCAAAAGACCCAGATTCAAGATGAGACTACCAGACCAAAAAGAGAATCTTCTAGAATTGTGAATAATGATGTATCATTCTCCGAACTAGCTGGAGGTACGAACCCAACCAATAAATTTGAAGCCCTTTCACAGCAACTACCTCAACCCCAACCTCAATATCCTGTTAATCCTAACATACCTAGCCATCAACAACCTCATCAACCTCAAATGACTCTTACCCCTACTTCCTCAAATGCCAAAGACCTCAGCAGGCTGTTGTCATCATTCCTCTTTGAATTCAAATCAATGGTTACCCCACTCATTTCACTCCTTACAAATCTCATATCTCACCTCATCCCTCCTGTAAGCATCAGTATATTGCCCTCCTAACAGATCCGTATCTAAAGTCCAGTACAGTTTTCTCCTAATCTCCTTAGGACATCATTTCATCCTGAGTGCAGACATAAACGCCAAGTATCAAGAATGGGGTACAAGAACCACGAATTCTCGCGGTAGATCATTGCTGTCTGCACTCAATTCCCAAAGTTTCAGCCTGCTTTCATATAACCCATCTACCTACTGGCAAAGGTCAAATTCTCACTAAACACATGAGTGTATGTTAGCCACATACACTCTCGATTACATACACATAAGCCACATACAAATACATTCTCGATCAATCTCCGTTGGCTTTAGTACCAGTGATGCGGTTGAGAGAGTAGCGCAGTTTTCTCCTGGAGTCTTGCTTTTCTCTACATAGTTGAAGGGACAAGTTCCTTCGCCTGATTGTAAATAGTGTATATAGGTATGAATGTGTTTCTTACTTTTTTTTAATTTCCTCCTACCTCACTATAGGTAATGTATAAGTGACAGAATGTTGTTATATTCAATAAATAACTAGTTTAAAATAAAAAATAAAATCTACTTGCGTTTGTTTGTTCTTACTTCTTAACTATTCTAATCGTACTATAAAATTTTGATTGGATAAGTATATTTATGCTCTATACATAAATTACATAATTTATAAAGTGTAAATCTTGATTCATATTATTTCATATCTTACTGAGCAAATACCTGCCTTCTTCGTATTTAACATTGTGCAGCAATTTATGAATGGATTTTTTTTTTTTTTTTACAGAAAAAGAATCATTCATAAATTATTGTGTGAAATGTTATAAATTACTAGCTAATGATTATTATTTTTTTTACCTTCATTCTCGTTAAACTGTTTATAACACGAACAGTTCTTTTTATTCCGGCCATAGTGCTGGTTGATTTGAGAAAGCTTAATTGAGTAAGTAAGATCCTTTGATCGGCTAAATGTATTTCAAGGACATATCTGAAATAAAGAGAAATATATATATATATATATCTTGATGTGATTTCTTTAGAAACAGAATAATTAGTGACCCTTATTCCACCTAGTAGTTAACTTGCTGGATTTTTGGACAACGTACAAACATATGTTGCTTAAAAGTGAAGACTATATGTAGGTATATTTATTTTTACTTTAGCTAACTCATAATAAATGCAAATGCTTTATGTTCGCAGTGATGGGCCAACCATGGGCCACCGCAGCAAGTCTACACTAATTAATTCACAGGACCTATTAATATCCTTGTTTTGGTCTTTACAATTACATTTCCTAAACACACATATAACAAACACTATAGAGCTAAAAAATTAATCATAAAAATGATTCAATACTTTAATAGATATTTCCAATTACCACCAAGAAATTTTTTTATTATTAAACACTTTATTCAGAAATATTACAATTTGTCACAGTTTAAGGACACTTATAATAGAGTTCAGAGAGTGCATTCATACCGTATATACAAAAAAATAAATAAATAAAGTAATAACAAAAGAATAAGAAAAAAGAACAAAAGGGTAAAGAAAAAAAATATATATATATACACATAAATAAATAAAAATAGAAATAAAAGTAAAACAAACACCTTATATAAAACATACCTATATACATTATTTACAATTTGCCAGATGATCTCCGAACCAATCCTGTCCCCTCCACATGTGGAGGGAAAAGGGAGGCTTAGGAGATCCCTACGCTTCTCCCTCAGCCACTTCACTGGTATTTTAAACCAGCGGAGGATGAGTAAGAGCGCTACAGCCACAGACACTCATGACTTGAGTGGAGAATCTGGCCATTGCTAGAACTCCGAAATATCCATATTTACAAAAGGTCTCGTGGCCACTGCCGCTTTAACCTACGAAGGGGATTGTAGGGATGGGTGGTGCTTGATAGAGATTGTACAACGGAATTTGGGTGATGAGAAAGGTTCTGGTGAAATTTGGAAAATTTGGCTGGGATAAGATCAAGAATAAATGGGATATTAAGGTCATGGTGTAGGGTTTTATTGGTTACATAGAAGGTAGCATCGATTATTGTACTGAGGACTTTAGACTGAAAGGATTGAATGCGTTTGATGTTAGAAAATTTAGCTGTTCCCCATAGTTCTAGTCCGTAAGTCCAGATGGGTTTCAGTATTGTCTTGTAGATCAGTAATTTGTTTTCACCAGAAAGTTTAGATTTTCTATTCAGTAGTCTATATAGCTGGCCATATCGTCTGTTAAGTTCCTGTCTTTTAAGTCTAGTATGTGGATTCCATGTTAGTCGTCTGTCTAAGAGAAAGCCAAGATACCGGACTGTATCTGAGAAAGGAAGCTGGATGGAGTTAAAATAAACTGGTGGGCAATTATTACGCCGAAGGGTGAAGGTAATGTGTTTACATTTAGATTCGTTTACCTTGATGCGCCATTTCTTACACCAGTGTTCAATCAGGAAGAGATGCCTTTGTAAGTTTGCGGACGCTGTTTCAGGATCTGAGTTGGAAGAAAGGATAGCAGTGTCATCAGCGAAAGTTGCCAGGAGGGTATCGGGATGGACAGGAATATCAGCGGTAAAGAGAATGTAAAGGATGGGGCCCAAGACGCTGCCTTGAGGAACGCCAGCCTCAATTGAGTAACAGTCGGAGAATTCGGTGCCACAGCGAACTCGGAAGGAGCGGTCGGAAAGATAGGATCGGAGTACTAACCACCAAGAAATAAGATGATCTAAAACTGCCATAGGACCAATAATAAGATATTTATCATACTAAGCAAAACTGATCTAACACAAGAAGTAGCTCTGGTGCTGGTGGTTGCTGTGGTGTATTTCTCATTGGATAATCTCTCAGTTTAGAGTCTTTCTTTTAAACTTTTAATCAAACTACTATGCAAAATTTACTTTATCACCAAGTCATAAGGCTAGTCTCATTTAAGCCATCTTAATTGATGTGGAACTTCTTCAAACACAGAATTTTAGGATTATCGTAACTTGCTTAATCTCTGTTATCACCAATTTCTCAAAATACGTGAAAAACTAGTACATTAGTAGTACAGGCGGGTCTACGGCGGGAGGGAAGAGAGAGGAGGGGGACTCTCGGGCCGAAATAGTAAAATGTAATCATGTTTTATGATAAAAAATAAACTCTTAAAGAATTATCGTTCTTGTAATTACAGTTAATAGGACTTCAAGGATTTATTAAACACCATTTCATACAGCTGATTAGTATCTTTCTTTTTTTCCCAAAGTAATTATTGTTATATATTATATACAATATATGAAAAAAAGCTTTCGAGCTGAAGATCCCCCTCCCAAAAAAATGTAATTCTGGATCCACTAGTGTCCATGAGCGAAATTCTCTCCTCGATCCTTTACAGTCTGGTTTTCTTCCCTAAATTCCACACCATCAGAATTTGTTAAAAACTATTTAAGTCATCCAATCCTCCATAGACCGACAAAAAAAATCACTGTTCTTATTGATTTAGATTTTATGGAAGCTTTCGATTCCGTTAATCACAATATTCTCACTTCAAAAACTTTTCTATTTCAAACATTGTTTTAAAATGGATCCTATTCTTTTTAACCTTTAGGCAACAAACAATTATGATTCTCAATAAACCTCCTATCTCGCCTCTCCCTACTGATCCAAAGTGTTCCTTTGATCTTTGCTCTTAAAACCCCTTTTCTTTATCTATATGAATGATATTCTTGATTCCATTAACAACTCACAATACCATTTATGCGTTAATGATCTCCAAATTCACCAATACTTCATTCCTACCGAGATGCTTCAAGCGACCCAAAGATTACAAACCCAACAAAAAATAAACACAGTAGCTGTAAATTTGTTGATTTGAAGTTAAGAACACCAAGTCCATTCTCATTAGTTCCGAGCATCTTTCTTCTTCATTGTCTCTTATTCTACCTTAATCATCTACCTATTTTCTCTAATCCATACTTCCGTTAGAAACCTTTGGGTAATCTTAGAACAATACCTATTCTGAAATAACCATATTTCCCAAATTACTCAAAAATCTATTGCTATTCCTAAACAGTTTCCAAGATTCCGTAATTCTATACCCATTAAAACCCGCCAACCTTTAGTTTCCTTTCTCATTTTCCCCTCTTTGATTATGGCGGCCTTATATACTGTGGACTGTCTGGTGGAGATAGAATGAGACTGGAGAAACTATAAATGAATTGTTTCATTAAATTTATTTTCGCAGCCATGTCTCCGTTTGGTATACTAAATGAAAGTTGCTTTATCCTGGTTTTACATCGGAAATATACCCTAGACGTATATACCTTTACCGTTCCTTAAAACCAAAGAGTCTCCTTACATTCTTAATTTTTTAATATCTTGTTTTATCGTAAACACAAAATTCCAACCCAAAAACTTCTTCATTCAAAAAATCTATATTACTTTGGTTTAACTTTAATTACTATCTCCATACGTAAAATCTCGTCTTTAACCTCATTTAAACATCTACTATTTTTCCATCTCCTCCAACAACCAATCTTCCGAATTTATGTTAGAGTATTGTTTCGTGATGATATTAGTGTTAGCTTTCTTACTGTTGTCATTTATATTGCTCAGAAGAGCGAATTAGAAAACATACCGACTATATTCATCTAGAATTCAATATTTTCGTTTGTTCATTTATATATACCTGCCTTTAATCTTTATATTCTAATTTTATTATTTCAGCTTTTTTTAATTCAACTATTGTAGTTTTAAGTCAGACAAATGAAACTGTTACGGTACATCTCTATTATTCTGAATATACAATGTATCCCAGAATAGAATTTACATTATTTTTAAATGTCGCATTCGCCTTCTCCAGAGATATTGATAGTAGACTGCTTTCGGAACTAATGTACAAGAGCACCCGATTGGATACGATGTTAATGTAATTCCTAAAAGTTTATCTAAAATTGTTTATGTCTCGCTAAATGAATGTTAGCATTCTCAATCTAGATTAGAAAACAGTGACAACATATATGGAAAAGGAATTAGCTGCCCCACGATACTTGTTCATTCTCCCACTGGCATCCAATAAATTGCCTTTATTAATAGTTCCCCGAGGCAACAAACAACCACGGGTAGATATATTAGGACCTAAGATAACAACTTTACTGAAATTTATAAGGAAAATGTATCATATTTTCTAGATACCGTAAAACTAAGGAGCTTTTTACACCTTGTGATTAGCAATACTCCAAAACTAGAATCATTTATTTGATGACGTAAAGAAATACTTAGTAATAGTTGACTTGGGAATGGCACTTCTTTGAAACAATGGGAGTTAATTTTCTAAAAAACAGATAGTTTTCTCTGGGGATTGGATGCAAGGAATTGATTCTAGTCATGGGATCACTTTAGCACCAGTTACGCGGTTGAGAGAGTAGCGCAGAGATTTCTTGGAGTCCTGCTTCTCCTTCTAAAGTTGGAGGAAGAAGCCTGGCTGGAAATCCCCTTCCTAATTGTATATATTGTATATAGTTATGATGTATATAGGTATGGCTGTGTTTTTATATTTTTTAATTTACTTATCTTTAGGTTACTTTATTTTTTTAATGTATATAGTTTTTGATTAGTATTTTACTTTTGTTAATTTTATATTTTCTGTATATATGGTGTGAATGTGTTATGTGTTCATATATCACTATAATTACTGTCCGCTTGACAGATTATTATTTTTCTTAATAAATAAATAAATAAAAAAAGCTATGGGATAATGTTATCCCTTAAGGTGTGAAACTTCTTCGTTCACGCTAAATATTTTCAAATCCGGCTGATTGCAGGTAATTATTTATTTTGTTCCATCGGCCCTGGATCGACCCTGGGATCTGGAGATCCTCTTGGAACACACGCAGCCTCTATAAAGTGGCTACTCTAAATTAAATAGTTAATGGAGAGAGAAACCTGGCTTTTGAACATGATATTGGCCCAATCACCTCCCTTCGCAACCGTTGGTCTTGTAACAGTACTTCTTCACAAAGTTCTGAATCTAAGACCCTCCGTTGGTTGTAGAGTAACAGTTTTTTTATTTATTTATTTTTTATAATTGCTAAACGTAAAAAAAATCTAAAAATATTAACTTACTTTTTAACCGCAAATTTTCTTCTAAAAGCTTCGAATACGTTTATACTACCGCATGAAAAAACTCTTTGCCTCATACGATAATACGGTGCCATAATTTTTATTCTTCGATACAGTTCTTCGATGAACTGTTTCCTTTGTTTTATTTTAACTTCCCGCTCTGTTAATCGCGGTGGTTTCTTGTATCTGGCCCACATAATTTCCAAACGCTTCATTCGTTTCTTCATTCTCCTTTTCATTTTTCGACGATACCAATGTGGTCCTTTCCCCTTGGGAGCGGGTACACATGACCATGGCTGTCTTGTGTGGTGTAATCCACGTTCGTAAAGATACGCCCCAAAGCGCTTCCATTGGCGTAAATAGCCTCTTCCGCTAATTCTAATCATTTTCATAATTTATAGCCGTTAATCTTTGATCCTAAATTCAGAAATTGGTTTTATAAAAATTAAACGCTGCCGTACTATTTTAAATTCAAATTAAAAATGTGAAAAGTGTCAAATGAATGACTACTACGTTACATTAACAATGACTTGAAAATAATATTTTTTCTTTCGTTATTACAGTGATACAAAACTCAATAATAAAAATTGTCAATCGCTCAGACGAATCAGTGGTTAATAAAACATGACTATAATGTCCAATTATTCATTTTATGTGATCAAAGTGAAAAATATTAGAGAACATCTAAGTTTTTTTAAAAATTACAAAAACATGTTTTTAATAAATATTTGATGATACAGTCCTCAGCAAAAATATAAGATGAACAACTGTATAAAAAGTCATACTTTATCATACAAAGAGGAATGCCATCATCTCATTAATAGATTGGTAGAAATGAATGTGTTAAATATAAGTTTATAACGGGTCAAGTACAGCGTTAATGACTTCTTTTATGTCAAGGAGAACATCAATTTTGAAAAAAAAATTAAATAAATGTGTACCTCTACGTATTTTTATGTCCTAATTACAGAAAGTAACGAAATGGTGGAAGAGATAAAAGCAAAAATAGTTGCTGTTTTTTCATAAAAAAATTACTAAATTATAGCTCAATCTCTTATGGAACAAAAGTCACAGCGCACGAGAAAGTCATAAGGTTCGTCTCCAACTATCGTTCTTAGACTTGGGTAATCTATAAGGTCTCAGAAAGTAAGCTACTCGCTTGGGAGTGAAGGATTCCCGGCAGGATCTACGGTCCGATGTGTGAATATAGGCAGTGGAGAAGTCGCACCAATAAATAGCCGCGCGAGATCTATGCAAGGCATGATTTGTTCTCAATTGTGGTGGGTAACCAAATCAGAGGGTTGTGCCATGTGAGACGTATGCCCAGAGATTCAATATTCCCAAACGCCTGCTGGAGGATCGACCTGGTGGAATACGTGGCCGAAGAAGACCACCTCTGAGATGGCTGGACGAGTTGGAGGACATCCTGAAAAGGATGGGAATCCGGAGAAGGAGAATGTTCACCTGAGATGGAGCAGAATGAAGAAGAATTAGAATAGAATACCAAGTTCTTGTAGGAACCTAGCGCCAAGAATATATAAAATAGAAATCTTTATGTATTAAGTTAAAGGTGAAAACCCTTTTTTGTATTGAAATAATTTAGGCTGTGTTATTTCAATATTGAAATAAATATATGAGTTGAGAAAAGATGATTTCAATTCAAAAATATTGATTGGAAATAATTAGCATGTTCATATACATGATGTATATACAGTAAATAAAGGGCCTGAAGAGTATATTTAACTGAAGTAAAATTTAAATCATAAGAAAATAAAAAATCAAATAATAATAAAGAGCAAGCCCTTCGGCTGAATCCACTGGTGTTGATCACGATAATAATTTTTTTTATATTCCATTAGAAAATTTGTCTTTGACGATGAATTTCTATATTTATCTTTTCTTAAAATAGCTGCTTTTTGGAACTTTTTTCGGAATTGTTAATCTACTATCCAGGGAAGAGGGAGGGGCTAGATTCGCTAGTGACCTGAATATGTTGGAAATTGTAAATGGGCTATTTTTTGGATTATTTCTAAGCTCCTATATTATTGTTCGAAGCTATGGGTCCGAAGCTTCCTAGTTTCTTCTGCAATTGTAACTGCAGTTATTGTTGTGCTACAGATTTGAAGTAGTGTTATTGCATTAAATTCAACATCTGCCGTTGTTATTGATGCACTGTTGGTTGAGGATAGTGGAGTAGGAGACAATCAATCAACATTTAGTTAAAAATATATCCGAAATTTTATGGTAAAAAATGCTTCTTTCCCTGTTCAGTACATATCTCTAACACTATAAATTAAAGTTACTATGTATTAATTAATAATTAGATTGCCTTATGATTCTTTTCCTCTCAACTGGTTTCTATAAATGTTCTATAACTTCTAAGCCAGAGCTCTGAAGCAGTCATTCCGTACATTTTAAATATCCCTGTTGTTCTTTTCCTACCAAATACTTCTGATTGTATGTTTTGAATCGTTTTCATCCTAGGAAACAAATCCTGGTTCAATAATCCTTAATGGTACAGCGTCATATCTCAGGCCAATGAGATATTTTCTAAGCACTTCTACTCTTATAAGATCTTCCAATCCAAAACCAAAAAAGTTACTTCAAACCATTATTGTGTAGTAGACATCCCCGTGTATTTACTCCTTTATGTGACACTGTGTGGGGGGAATGAGAAGGAATATATAGGAATGTGAGGTTGCACAATACATTGTACTCAATTGTACAGTGGACAAATTATTCATTGAAAATCTCATATCGATAAACAGTCGATGGAGGAAGAAGGTTGGAATAGGACTGAGCAGGTAGCATCAGCTGGAGAAGGACACTGGAGAGAAGAGAAGGCACTTGAGGCTGGGACATTAAGGCGGAACGACGTTATCTGAGAAGAGAAGCCTACTACATTAAAGACTAAGAATGTCAAGCCTACAGTTATAAGACTTTTACACATTCATTTATTACAGTTGTCAAAATAAATTGTTTTATTATACAGGAGTGAAAAGTCATTTTATTTAGTCGCCTATATGCCTCACAATTGAAAAATAACAAACCAGGTGAGTCAATTCATTTAAAGTGTATTTACTAAGTCCCACATTTCATATATATATTCTTATTGTTTCTTCTCATTCAGTGTCACAAAATTATTAGGTTCCCGAATTCCCAACAACAGTTAAACACCCTCAAAAAGTCTGTCTCCAGTGCCGGGGTTTTGTTTTAATATTCACTAGTGTAAATAACTTAGTTCTCCGATAAAAGCGGAAAGAATATTTTCAATTCCTGCCAAAAACAAATTATTTACATTTAGCTTTTAACAGGTTACTTACAATTGATACCTATGGGTTGACGGTTCTAAATTCAAAATGTTTGGCTTTAGAAAAAGACAGTATTTAATGAAGGGGTCTGAAGAGTAATTGGTTCATAGCATACACCCATCTATGAAGAATGTTAGATGATCAATAATGGTTTAGTGTAGTTTTTTAAAATTAAAGATCTCACAAGAATAGAAGGAAAAATGGACACAAAAAACGTCTCATTATCCTCAGATATCATACAATACCAAATGGTTAGATTTAAATATAATATATTATCATTTTAATTTGATAATATGAAAACTTGTAGTTTTTCTGTTCAATTAACATTAATGGAAATTAAAGGATTAGTGGTTCTTGAGTATATGTAAAAAACTAAAAATAGCAACACTTACATTACATAAAATAGTTTATTAATATACATCAAGAGAAAAAACATTTCAAATAAATAAAACAAGTACACATAACAATATAAAAAGAAACAGGTACATTTAATGGAAATTTCAGTAATAGAATATGTTAAGATCATTATTAGACATTCTAACAATTAAAACATGTAAACCTGCTTTAGGCTCCCACATATTCCAATACATATTTAACATACATTACATCTTCATTGTGTGCTTAGTTCCTAGATAGTATCCATTACTGTTCTTACTAGTAATAATGAGTTTTTATAATTATTTCAAAACTTTAAAACCTTAAATATTATTTAAATATAAAAATATTTAACATTTTTTGAATATCTTGTTTTGATATAAATAAACTTGTAAAAATCAATCATTTTCGGACTTACTAATGTATTTATTCTGAAAGATAATAAATAATGTGATTCATTGAATGTTCAACTACAATTATAAAATATTATTACTTATAAAATAATCTCAGCTATTCCTCTAACAATACTTCATTTAACTTGTTCCCTAACTGAATCTCTTCAAATGCAGACATGACGTTTCTTCTGATATAAAAAATATGTCAAGCACTCATCCCATTATTTAAATTATACATGCAAGTATTAATAGAAAATATGTTACTGCATGTCACGATACATTGTGCGAAAAATACATCTAGTCAACATCAAGCTTTCACATTTAAATAATTTTTGAAAACAGGAAAGATATAACATTTATGACATTTAATGTTATAATACCAATTATTGTAAAGCTCACAAAAACAACAACCCCTTTGTTTTTACTTCATGGTTTCACTTGATGAAGCTTGAAGTGGGCGCCTAGTAAATGTAGCATCTTCAAATTCTGTGCCATTAAGGCTATAATGTTTTCGACGTATAATTCTTCCTGAAATTTGTGTCTGAATACTGTTAGCTGATAGACTTCTTCTTGTCATATAAACTGTTGGGGAGCGTTCATATTCAGTTTCTTCTAAATTCCTACTCACTTGAGGTCTTGGACCACTTTCTGTTCCATAAAATGAAGATTCAGTTTCTTCATGTTCGCTCAATTCATCTATTGTCGGCCTAGGTTGAAGTTGACTTACGTCAAAGCTGATTGCTCTTCTTCTAGTTCTTTCTCTTTTCTCCAATTCTTCAGCAAGTAAGTGTATTTCCCAGTCAGTTTGATTTGAAAAAAATACTTCATCTTCATCAGTTGAATCATCACTCTCAATCCTTATGATAGTGGATTCTGATTGACTCAGTGATTTACTCTGAGAAAGGCTTTTTGACAAATCATGGTATGAAACACTTGGAGTACCTGCTGACTGGTGTTCATAATAACTAATTTCATCTTCAACATCCTCATCCTCCGACAGCAGCATGTTAACTGGTACATTCTGTTGAATAGAAAAACATTAGTTATTTAATTATTTTGGATTTATAGGTATAATATAATTTATCATAAATAAAACTCAAGGAATTCTAATCTATCTAAAAAATATTAGATGGTTTACTTTTAAATTCATCTCTTCAGATAAGCTACCAATATGACAGAGCTTGCTTTTTAAGGGGCTAGCAACCATGGACTGTTTAACATTTAAATTATCCTCAATATAATTTCTCTTTAATTGTAAGTTATAAATAATACTAGATGAATTTAATGGACATAAGGATTTTTACAAATCTATTTTTATGACTAAAACCTAATCAATTTAAAACAATTACAAACAGCCATTTATTTTTCATTAATAATGATATTAATGAATAAAATATGTTTGTATAATATGTAGCCGCTAAATTAAAAGCTCTAAGTAATCTTAGTGAAGGCAATCTAGAATACTTCCGAACCTCAAAGAATGAAATGTCAAAACTGCTCAAATGTAAAAAAAAAGTGAGTATCTTAAAAATAAAATAATTGAAATAGAAGCTAATAGAATTGAAAATAATGTAAGAGACATGTACAAAGATATAAACAGAACACATACATGTTTAGGGCCCGTCACGTCTGGAATTAGGAATGAAAATAACGATATTCTGACCGATCTGGTAGACATACTAAATAAGTTTAAGAGCCACTTTGACAGTATTTTAAATACGGGAAATTATGATCTGTGTCCTCCTGGGTACCAGAGTGTGGAACCGTTAATAGAAGAACCGAGTAAAGAGGAAGTTAAAGTAGCTATTGGAATATTAAAATTGTACAAAGCAGCGGGAACTAATATTCCTAGTGAACTAATTAAGGCATGCGGGGAAGCTGGAGTTTCTAAAATACATCTGTTGGTTAAAAAGATCTGGGCTAATGAGAAATTACCAGAAGAATGGCAAGAGTCTATGCGATGTTGTTATTCTAAATGAACTTTGTCCCAGAATAAAGTTATTTTCTATTTATATTCCGATTCACAAAAAGGGTCTGAGGACAGATTGTAATAATTACAAAGGAATTTCACTCCTTCCGGTATGTTATAAAATATTCACTTCAATCTTAACAAGTCAAATCACAGAATACACCGAGGAAAATGTGGGTGATTACCGATGCGGATTTAGACGGAATCGTTCAACTATTGATCAAATATTTACTTTACGGCCAACATTCGAGAAAAAATTAGAGTACAAATATGTTGTTCACCAGCTGTATAATAATTTCAAAAAGGCTTACGATTCTGTTAACTGCTAGAAACTGTATAATATTCTAATTGAGCAGGGGATTCCAAAAAAACTAATAAATCTAGTCAGGATGTGCTTGTCGGAAACACTCATTAAAGTTAGAATCGGGAATAATTTATCCGAAAAGTTTGAGGTTCGTGCGGGTTTAAAACAGGGTGATTCTCTTTCGCCTGTCCTGTTCAATTGGGCATTAGAACATGCCATTAGGGAGGTGATGCGTACCGAAAAAGGGTTGGATCTGGGTGGAACAACACCCGTGCTTGGCTATGCTGATGATCTGGTACTGTTAAGCGAAGACACGGAAACTATAAAACTAAATACGACAACGTTAATGAAAGCCAGGTAAAGAACTAGGGCTCGAAATAAACGTACGGATAAGACAAAATATATGGTTAGCTGCAAAAATGGCGATATCTTTGGTGATATCGATATAGAAGGTAATATGTTTGAACAGGTAGAGAAGTTTAAGTATCTAGGGTCTACGATAACTAGAAAAAACGAAATTGAAGAGGAGATTAAGGTTAGGCTGAAGGCGGAAATGCTTGTTATTTTTCTGTGACAAAACTACTTAGATCGCGCATCTTGTCCCGGAATTTAAAGACTAGAATCTATAAAACCATTATTCTACCTACAGTTCTTTATGGATGCGAAACGTGGCCGCTTACATTAAGAGATGAGCAACGTCTTAAGGTTTTTGAAAATAAAGTATTGCGTAGAATATTCGGACCGAAGAAAGATGAGTTAACCGGAGAGTTCAGAAGGTTGCACAACGCCGAGTTGCGTGAACTGTATCCAGTTAATATAATTGAGGTGATTACATCGCGGAGAATCAAATGGGCTTGTAAAATAGTTGGGCTTAGTAACGAAAGAATTCCTAAAAGGTTGATATTTGCTGTACCGAATGGTAAACGTCCGAGAGGTAGACCGAAGCGAAGGTGGGAAGATTGTGTTAAAACCGATCTGAAGGGACTGGGTTTGGACGGTGAACAGTGGAGGGAAGTGTGTAATAAGCGATTGATGGTGTCGGCATTGAACCTCCGGGTTCACTAAGCCTTTTTTTATTATTATACAGGTAAGTAGAGGAAAATATTTGAATAGGCGCATTTGGAATAAACTAATAAATACCAATCAAATTAAAAACTTTGTATTAAGTTGTTTTGAAAGTAAATTCTGTTTTAATAAGTTTAAAATTTTTGTGAAGGAAGAAATTTGTAATTGATATTTTTTTCTTAAAACCAGAACCTTAGGTTTTATGTTCTACAAAGATTGTGTAATAAATCTGATATTATTATTTTCTATTTTTTATTCTTGCTTTGCTGGGTGAGTTTCTGATGTGGGAGACCAGAATTTATTATTATTGTTATTGTTATTGTATATATTATTTAAATATAACAGAGCAAAAACACAATGGTACATGAATTAACTGTTAGGATCTAATGGTATAATTTCAAGCCTTGGATCTTTTTTTAAAAAAATTAGCGTTTCACCAATTTTGCCATCCTCAGAAAATAAACAAAAAACAATTTCATATTTATGCAAACTATACCAATACATTTTAAATTAAAATTTGAAAAAATACTTTTTGTTTCGGAATTTTCAATTGTATCCTACCAATATTTATATATTTATATTCCTTTCTAATACTAAAATATTTTATGTTTGATAAATAGAAATACTTATTACATTAATAAATACTTCTTTTTTTTTTCAAGAGTGTATCTAAATTTTGAAGTATGATGAAACTCAATCTGAAATATTTGTAGGGGCCATAATTATATTCTCAGAGTATTAGATATATAATTTACCTCAATCTCCGATAGCCTCCTTTCCAACTCCATAATTAAATCATCTCTTCTTTTAACTTCTAATTGCAGCCTGATATATTGGGTTACATATTTAGATTCAATGTTTCCCTTTAACATTAAACAAAGTATTTAATTATTGTAAATAGTTTATTGTAGCAATTGGTTTTATTTAATATATTTTACACTTTATTGGTATATACATATATATACATGCACACACACACACACACACACACACACACACACACATATATATATATATATAATTTGAAACTTACCAAGTGTTCATCTATTGCTTTCCTTATTTCTTCAAATATGGTACTAATGATTTCTCTTTGAATATTGACATATGCAGCGCCTCCCTTTTCTCTTTCACTTTGACCTTCAGAAGAAGTTGATTCCTGATTTGCCTCCCACTTTTGAACTGACTTAATTACACTACTTACTGCATCACTAGATGCTACAATATTTAAAACTTCTCCTGTGACATCTTCATTTTGATTTGTGTCTGTTTGTAGGGAAACATTCTTTACATTTGAGCATGTTTGGTTATCTCTATTTGTTTCTGAGCTTTCTAAATTATTATCAACTAAAAGAGTGGTTCCTATTTGGGCAGACACACTTTCTGTTGATGAGGTTTCTAAGTCAACAGTATCATGATTAAAAGTAACACTTTTTGTGAACTTGCTATGACGGGCAGCATATCCTTCAACAGTTTGAGCACGAAGTAATTTTCTCATTTCACTTGAACTTTTCTTTTTGATGATATTGGAAATTTCAGAAGAACTAGATTCTCCTGATTGAGCAGTAGAAGCAGATGAAAGTTTTTTCAAAATACTTTTTAGTTTTCTCCTTTCAAGAGTTTCATTACTTTCAGGAGACATCAGAGGGGACTCATATGATTGATATATTCCATCAGAACAATCAATTGGTGGAGGTCTATTGGGACGGCTACTGTAACCATCGGTATTCTTTACCTGTCTGGAAGGTTTTTCTTTCTGTAACTCAGCAAGTTTTTGCCTTTCATTTAATATTTTTAATTTTTTAACAAATGGTAAACCAGAATATTCAGGAGATAAATCGTCTATTGATTCATATGTCTTTGATGCAGTACTGTGATAGGGAGATGTTGGAGATGATTTTACTACAGTACCAGTAGTATCTGTCTCTTCCAAGATTCCACCTATTGCTTCATCTAGTTTTGATTCTTCATCCATTATATATTTTAATATGTTTTCATGTGGTTTTGATCCCAAAGAAACGTTATCGTTTTCCAATCTTTCATTATTTTTTAATTTTATGTCAGTTAGTCTTTTTTCATGAAGATCCATAGAGTTATTAGGTACTAATACTGCCTTTTTAATTAAAATCCATGATTCATTGTCTGATTCATAATGATTTTTCCTTTCAGAAATAGTATCAACAGAAGGAGCAGGTAAATACGGAGATGGAAAATGAGAAACACTCCTTTCTCCTTCTTCCATTAACTTTTCTTTAAATTTATTGGGGATCTTTTTTTTATTTATTTCAGTCAATAGTTTTTTTTCTAATTTTGATTCATCATTGCTATCATATTTCATAGTTGACTTTAAGGTTAACTGTGTTGGTGATGTAATCTGTGTTCTGACTGTTGACGCTAGAACTTCTGCAGCCATATTAGCTGTAGTCTGTACAACTCCAGCTTTCTTTTCATCTTTTTGTTTCATTAACAGTATCCGTTGTAATAATGGTACACCAACTGACTCACTTTCTTTGTTTTTTTTTTCTTCTTCTAGCATAAGAGCAGGTACACTATCTTTACTTTCATTTCTTAATTGTTCTTGTTCTTGTTTCTCTTTTAGTAATTTTAAGCGCTGAAACAGAGGTAATCCAGCTCCAATTTTTTGTGGAACTGGACTCTCTTCATCTTGTGACATGTCTTCATTATGTATGCAAGGAACACGACAGAGAACTGCTTTACCAATAGTTTCTTTATTTTCTTTATCTTGCGATTTTGTTGGTTCAAGCTCCATACAATCTGATTTAGCCCTGAAAACATAAAGTAATGTTAATGCAACATGCTTTTTATATTGTTTCAATGTTAATGTAAAAAAAAAGATATATTAATTAATTGTTAGGATATAATTAGAAATTCCAAAACACCAAGCATTGGGTCTCTATAATGTAGGTTAATAACTAACTTGCCAAAATTTTACTAATTCAGACATCATTAGGACAGAAAAAATAAAATCACATAAAAGTATACCAAATACAATACATCAAAAAAGACAAATCAACTAAAACTAAAACACATACTATTCAAACACAAAACTATGTGTTTAATAGATAGAACATAAACGTTATTCTGGGACATCTCTTTATGAACAAAAAACATATCTGACCAAAAACTACATAAATAAACAATGCAGTGGCCAAAAAAGTATTCACACACCATATTTTTTAGCCAAAAATCTTTTTATCTGTGTTTTCAAAATGAAGTTTGTTTTCAACAAACAATACATAACAATTAGAAACTTCATTTTGCATTAATTTTACAGAAAAGTAAAATTTTATAACTCATATTGTATGAAAAATATCAGAATTTTCAAATATGAAGCGCAAAATAAAAATATTAGTATATTTAACTAACCCAAAGAAAGTATAATAAATATCAATCTCAATTAATTTTAATATTTTGTAGGGTATCCTTTCGCATTTATCACGGTATTGAGTCTCCTTGGCATCGGTTCCATGAGCCTCTTGGTGTCTGGTCCAATTTCTTCCCAAGCTTTTTTATGATTATTTATTAAGTCATCCGAGAGGAACAAGAAGAATTTGGGATTTGTAATTTCAGCAGTGCCCGTAAATTTTCAATTGGATTAAGATACTGTGATAGTGGGGGTGAGGGTGTTTTTAGAATTTTTCGAACATTATACAGAAATTATTGTTTGGTTTCATGGCCGTGTGCTTGAGATCGTTGTCCTGCTGAAGCATATATGTATTCTCCATTCCTAACTTTCACACAATTTTATTTACACACCTTCACATATTAGTCAGCATTCATAATTCCATCAATTAAGGCTAGTTCACCAACTCCTTTGGCACCCATGCACCTCCAAACCATGAAACTGCCCCTTATGTGCTTCACTTGGGTTGTAGATTTTGGGGTTCAAATACATTACCTTTTTCCTCCAAACATTTTTTTTTCCGTCAGATCTAATATATTATACTTGCTTTCACCTGAAAACAACCCATTTTCCCAAAACTTGTTGGGTTTATTTACATGTTCTCGGGCAAACTCCGATTTTTTTTTTCTGTTTATTTTGTTTATAAAGGATTTTTTTCTTAACGCCCTGCCTCTATAGCCAGCTTCATGTAGCCGATTCCTCATGGTTTGGGGTATTACATATTTCTCTTAAGCTGACACAATGTGAGCTGAAACCTCTCGAGCACTTACTTTGGGATTTTTTGCCTAGGCATAATTTTACGAGATTCTCTCCCTGTCAACAAGAGTTTTCTCCCTGGGTAGGATTTATTGTATACTGATCCGGATTTAAATTTTTTTATACTGTATTTCACTTTCGTTTGAGGTAGTCTGAACTTTTTTCCAGTAAACCGGAAACTTAAACCCTGTTGAAAATGTTTTATCCTTTAATCCTCTGGAGTAACGGATTATAAATAGAATGTTAAGCCACTGTTTTAGTAATATAAATTATCCCATCATTAATATATTCGCTAGTGTACGAATGCTTTTTTTGTGTACAAATTATTGAAATATTATTGTTATAAAAGTTTTATGAGATTTTAAATTTTGGTATTAAATAAAATTTAAATTTAAATGAAGTTTGTAATTGATATCTGCCATTATTTCAAGTTAAAAAAATTATAGTGAACCATTTTGGCCAAAAAACGGGGTGTGCGAATACTTTTTATGCCCACCGTCTATACAATTTCTTCAGTGACAATATATAGACAACAAAAAATAAAAACATTTTGAACATAACATAATTGAAATCAAAAGAAAACAGGAATCAAGAAAAATAAAAACAGAACATTATGAACACAAAGAGTCCATTTTTAAAACTAAAATTTAAACGACCATTCTCTTCAATTGAAATTTGATTCATAGAGTTTATTTTATGATTGTAGAGCGTCATTTTGGGATGTGAAAAGGAATTAGTAAAGAAGGTATTTGAATGAGGATAAGGAAGAGGCATGGCGGATTTCAAATGGCAAGGAATTCTAGAAGACAGTGGATTAGGGAATAAAGGAATGTTCAAATATTTTAGTTCTATGGGAAATGATACAAAGGTCAGGAACATGGGATCTTGTTTTCTGGGAGTGGACTACAGGTTCGAACTGTAGAAGACTGTAGATGTAGGAAGGGTGCCGGGAGCTGATCGTTTGGGATAGTTAAGATTCAAGGAAATATTGCCGACGGAAAAAAGGGAAGAGTTGTCTTAACTCATCATAAAGGTGGAACACATGTGACAGTCTTCAGGTACCAAAGACAAATCTTAAGAAGCGTTGTTTAGATTTTTCAAAGTGATTTAATGTCTCTAATTAATATATATTTTTTGAACTATTGAAGTAAGTTGTGTCAGGTTTGGTTTGCTTATAGGTATGTGATTTTTATTTTCTATTTTTTGTTCTGAGGATGGCAGAGGAATTTATTGGCAGAATATTGACGTTTTATACAGACCCAAGGCATTATGTTTGGAAACTTCTAATTATATCCTCATTCTTTCTGTAAATAAATATTTTTAATAAAAATAATCTATAATTATCTAATTTATTAATCAATATTGAGAAAAATATATCTAACAAATAATATGGACAATGGTAATAAGTTTAAACAACAGTCTGTACCTTAAACAAACTATTTTAGTTATTTTTTTATTTAATTAAAAATTTATAAAGAACAATAATCCAAATTAATATTTCATAATTTATCAAATAGATTTAAATTTTCAGAAAATTAATGAAGATTATATTGAAATTAAAACTTATATTTTTAAAGCAACTATTGTATATGTATGCAAATAGTTCAGTATGAAGAATAAGATTTTAATATTTTGGAAAACTTTGTGTTCTCGATTTCTGAACATCTTCTGTTCAATAATTATTATTTGATAGAATAAATTATAGAGAAACCTCAATGGTATAATTAAGAGTAAATATAATTTAGGGCATTAAACTGCCATTCTATAGCTATCTAAACATTAATTTATTAACGTAACTTTAATGTGTACCAATGATTTTTTACTTCTCCCATACTTGTATTTTTCTAGGGTTAACTGGAAATATTGGTCAGTTAAATTTATCACTGTATCTGCAGCAATTGGGTTTGATTTGCAGGTATATAACAATTATTACTTCTATATATACATTTTTCCATTGAAAGGATATAATTTCTTTAGTGTGAATAAGAAAATTAATCAACCATGTGAATTTTCAAAAAGTACAATGTAATATCTTTACTTTAAATGAACACACCCCCATTAAAAGAAACAATTTAAAAAATACAGTAAAATATTGAAAGTTTGAACAAATCTTTTCTTGGTTAATATAAAACTCTGAAACTGATGAGCTTTAATAATTGAAATACATCTATCTTACATCACATGACAAAAATAATTGATTAATGGTAGAATTTTTTTAATGCATTATGTGCAATTAATGATGTATTCCTATAATTTTGAAGAATTATGATCAGTCTAAAACTTGATACCTGGTGCTTTTACGAAAAACATTTTTTAACTCTTTGACGTCTCCTGTAATTTTCTCAACAATGCTTCGCTTGCTGGTATCAGTTTCTGACTCTATGCGGACTGTAGCTGTCATCCCCTTTTCTTTTTTTTGTTGAGCTAAAAATTATAATATGTTAGAAAAGGAATATATTCAGTAAACAAATTATTAATCACCATAGAAATTTTTGATATATAATTATTAGACCCTCATTCAGTTTAAGGTAATTGAATAAAATTATTGATTATTGCTTGACGTTGAAAAAGCGAAGTGAAATAAATTTTTAATAGTGGATTGATGGTGAAAGTTAAAGGGAAGTTGGTAGATATGTTCAGTCAAAAAATAAAAAGTAAAAATAAATAATGATGTTTATTTATTTTTCCTTTTTTTTTTTTGACAGAAATGAATTTTAATCAATATAATCAAAATTGACTTGCTAAGAAAAAGTTTTAATTATAAAATAATTCAATAGTAAACAGATTTTAATGTTGGGTTTAATCACTCATTAAAACCAAACAAATAATTGAATTTCAGAAATTACAGCTTAAATCCAACAATATTTTTATCTGATGATTCATCAATTATAATTTTCATATGATAAGTCAGCATTTTATAATATTTTAAAATCATATACAATTTAGAAAAATCATCTTTATTCTGGGACTAGGTCCCTTTAGAATAACAGTATTGTTCATATATATTAACTACAAATCTGGTCAAAAGACTTATTACAATGAATAATGACAAAATACATGTAATACATTAAGTATTAATTAAGCTCTTAGGATAAATTAACGAGGACAGTTGGGTAATAGGGGTTCAGTACTACAATATTGGAGCTAAAATAATTGCATAATAATCACTGAATGAAATTAGAAAGGAAAGTAAAATCTATTTTATAGGTAAAGCATTGTAGTGATGGAATATAAAAATTAAAAAAAATAATAATAACTGTTAATATGTAGGGAAAGAAATTGTAAAAACTAAAACAAAAAAATATATAAAAAAACAAATAATGATATACATATGTTCCCTAAGATAATTAAGTGTTTATGCGTAAAGATAAGGAGAAGAGAAAATAAAATAAAGTATATATATACACATAGCGAGAAGTATGTTGAAGATAATTAGAAATAAAATACATTTCACTGAAATACATTCCATGAATAACAAATTAGAACTTAAGGAAAACAAATTTTATCTACTCACAATGCTTAGTGAGTGGTGATGAAAATTCACGTTCAACACAGAATAACAATAAAAAATAAGAGAAAAAAAATAATGTCTAAAGAAAATTAAATCCTTATAACATAGTATGTATTTAACCAGCCTCTGATTGGATTGTGAAGAGGAATTGGAATAAGAGGGTTTTAAAGGTGGATAAGGATGATGCATGGCGGATTTTTAGTGGGATGGAATTCCAGAATGCAGTGGAACGGACAACGAAGGAATGTTTAAATGATGCAGATCTGTGGAAAGGAGTGTAAAGGTCAGAAGGACGAGATCTTGTGGAGAGGGTGTGGATAGATGATTTGAATTGTAGGAGATTGTATGCGTAGGACGGACGATGACTATTGATTATTTGGTAAAGGAATGTGCCTAGGAAATATTGTCTTCGGAAGGAAGGGAAGAGCCATCCTAATTCAGCATAGTGGTGCGAAACATGGGAATACCTCAGGGCCCCTGTGACAAATCTTACGAAGGCATTCATAATTCTTTTCAGTCTCTCCCCGAGTTCTGCCGAGAGGCCACCGTACACCACGCAGCCGTAATCAAGGTGGGGGAAGAAGAGGGAAGTTACTAGGAGTCTACGTGTGGAGATGGGTAGGAGATGGCGGAAGCGATGGAATAGTTTCAAGGTACCAATTGACTGTCGGGTAATGTGAGCAATATGGTGTTCCCAGGATAGGGTTTGGTCTATGAAAATGCCAAGGTTTTTTTACTGAGGAGGTGAAGGTAATGGGATGGTCATTTAGGTACAGTATAGGTATGTTGGTATTGGCTCTGAGAAGGGGTTTGGAACCATTTTATTCATGGAATTTACTTTATTCATTATAAATAAATAAACAATTATGGCTATTCTGGAAAATATTGTCTCTTAATATAATATTAATACACAATCAATAGTATATTGGTCTGGCTGCAGTAATTGCGAATTAATTATATAAGTAAATTATTAAATAAAAGATAAATAAACTGCTGAGGTAATGTACAGAGAGTAACAGTTACCAGAAGGCCTCGACAGAGCATTGCTCAATTTAGGAGTAAGATGACTAAGTGGATGAAGGAAGATGAGAAGAAGGATGACCTTAAGTGTCAGGCGGATCAGCACACGAACCACTCTTGGTCTGCGGTATAATGGATCAATCTTAACACTCCACAAGGATGGTAACCACAACTGGAGGGATCAAACTACAGACTTGTGGGAGGATGAAATACCAATGGAGGGATCAATCTCTTGACTTAGTATATAGGAATACAAGTGGACTGATCAGCATCTAGACTTGTACGGAGAGAGAATAGGAAAAAGGTTGTGGGTAATTCTTATAGAAAAAGGCAATGTGAGGCATTAACTAGAAGAGTATATAAATCACATACTGTTAAGTAGGTGACTGATGATCCTAAAGTCATAAGGGCTAGGAGATCATTCTTTCATGCAAACGATGGGTTATGAGAGTTTCATAAAAGTTATATATACAGAAATAAAATATAGCAGTCTCGTAGCAGGTGCGTGAACTATGTACAGGGCCACTACAGGACTCCGTATAGAGCCGCTACAAAACTAATATGTCGAATTTTTCATATACTACTTTTATCCCATTGAAAACAAGCATTCCCAATGAGTGGGATAAACATGAAGTGAGTATCAAGAAATTGAGATATTTTGGCCCTAATAAAAGGCACCAAAGAAATGTTTCCAAGGGAAACTAGTAAAAGTTACTCTTTGAGCGCCAGCAAGAGATGCAAAAGGATCTAGTTAAAAAATGTTCAGAATAAATTGAGCATTAAATTTTCAGTGTGTTTTTCATGAAAATAAAATTATATCTTTACCACGATTATTGGTATCCCATGGACAAAATCATGGTGGCCCTTAATTGAAACTAATATTTTGTTTTTCTCCTAACTATCTGATATTACTTTAAGAAATATTTATAAAGATATATATCTATTGAAAGATTTTATCATAATTTTAAAATGTATGTATACAGTGTGTTTCAGGATTAAGTGACCAAACTGCAAAAATGAACTAAGGACCTCAAAACAAGAAGAAAAAAAAATTCCTCTGAAGGTATGTCTACAAACGCTTTGTTTAGGAGAAATTCTAAACTAACTCCATGGTGCTATAGAATGGTTTGGTCCTTGGCCGCCTCAATGAGCCCTCACCAGATGGCTCTATCTTGCACAGTCTCTTGCCAGTTGCGGCTATACAATACTTCTCTGTCGTCCCGGATGATGGCATCCTACCATCTTAGACGTGGTCTGCCCTTCCCTCTTGTCTAGCAGAGCTTCCCATCAAGCAGCTTCCTTGGGACTTCCTCTTCTGGCATTCTGGCCACATGGCCAGCCCAACGTAGTCGCCCCAAGGAGTCTAGGTCATACTCAGCACTTGGGATTATGAAATTGTCCGGACCATCTGCAGCCTGGTTTAGAAGTGCGTCAAAGTGATGAGATCATCGGGCCAAAATCTGCTCCTTCTCTGTGATCATGGAGCTGTCTTCTTTTTGAAATAATCAGACCCTTGGTTTAAATGATGTCCTACTCTCACTCAACTCATTGTAGAATGCTCTTGATTCATTCTGTCTCCTTTACTCCTCCATCTCTTCTGGCTGTCCCCTTTCCTATTCTCTCTTCTTTTGTCTATCTAGTCTCTTCTCCTCCGTCCTTCTGTCCCTATACTCCTGTGTGGCCCTTCTCGTGTGCCGCTTTGAAGCATGTTTTTGTAGGCTTTATTTTTTACATTCGTAGCAACTGCACACTCTGCATCAAACCACGGGGACCTAACTGCTTGTTCCTCTATCCCTACAACTTCCTTTGCTGTTTCTTTAATGATTCGGGATAGGGTATTCCACTGCTCTTCTGCAGATCCCTCCGACAAGCCTGCACCTGTCACCCTTTCATCCAATGTTTCAGTGTAGGTGTAGGTTTCCCCCAACCTGGAGGGCCAGTGGCTGACTACAGTCTAACGACTGGGCGATGGGATCGCCACTTCCCGACACCATTAGGAGATATTCACACCTAAAGATATTTTTTGTTATGAATTATGTACATTATATGAAATAAATAAAACCTATTTATTTGTTCTAACTACTTTATTAATTAAATGTAAACATTAACATTCACATTAAATGTTGTTCAAAGTGATTTCCTGACAGGAAATGAAAGTGAGCATTAAGACAGGCTCAGCATCTTTCTTCAACAGCAGCAGCGGCAGAATGGCACTGGATATGTGTTATTGTTTCACAGGATTCAATTATCCTTCTTCGGAAGGTATTAAGGTCATTGACCAGTCTTGCTCATTCATATCCCATATCCCAGATCCCAATCAATGGATTCGCCGTGCAGGTCCACTGGCTTGGCCTGCATGCTCTCCAGACCTGACACCACTGGATTTTTTGTTTGGGATGACATTAAACAAAAAGTCTATGCAAGGGCGGTTAATAACCTTAATTCATTACGAAGAACAATAATTGAATCTTGTGAAACAATAACACATATCCAGTGCTGTTCTGCCACTGCTACTGTTGAAGAAAGATGCCGAGCCTGTCTTAATGCTCAAGGAAATCATTTTGAACAACATTTAATATGAATATTAATAATGTTTACATTTAATTAATAAAGTAGTTAGAACAAGTAAATAGGTTTTATTTATTTTATATAACGTAAATAATTCATAACAACGAAAATATTTAGGCGTGAATATCTCATAAACAAAGCGTTTGCAGATATACCTTCAGAGGAAATTTTTTTTCTTGTTTTGAGGTCATTAGTTCATTTTTGCAGTTTGGCCATTAACTCTGAAACACCCTGTATATTTATAAATATTTTTGAAGAGATATAAGGAAAAAACAAAATGCAAGTTATAACTTAGTGGTGCATGATTTATTAACATTTATAAATTATTAGTTTTAAAATTTAATTAAATCGAAAGTTTCAAAAAATAATAACATCATGTTTTTCTGTCAAAGATGTAATAAGTTTTAAGATATTAATTTTCTGGATAAGATTTATGTTTACCAAGGCTATCTGTTATGTATCAATTATAGTATATTAGATAACAGGGCTTGACACTTTTTAAAATGTTTTTGAAATAAAAGTTGTGAGGCACTTTTTTGTAATTAAGCTCTGGGTTAAGTGTAAAAGTTTTACTTTAATTTATTTTAGTCTTTTACAAAAGGTTACATTAAATGCTAAATAAATAGTAATTAGGCTTACAGATATCATTACATATTATTACAGATATCAGATATCTTGAATGAATTGCCTAATTTAAATTATAGGACAGTCCGCTGGTGTTCCTCAAGGTAGTATCCTAGGTCCTATCCTCTATACAGTTTATACAGCTGACATCCCAACCCATCCCAACACTGTCATCACCACATATGCCGATGACATATGTATCCTATCAGTAAACAATGACCCAGCAATTGCATCCCAAATGCTTCAATCACACATCATAAATCTAGAAGAATGGTGTCAAAACTGGAGAATTAAAATAAACTCCAATAAATCCCACCAAATTACCTTTACCCTTCGTCGTAAACCAACGACTTCCTGTCCTACAGTTTCCTTTAACAATACTCCACTTATCCCTGTTGAGCAAATCCGATACCTAGGACTCCACCTGGACAAACGACTAACTTGGAATCCTCATACTAGACTGAAACGACAAGAAACCGCTCGACGTTTCCGATTACTTCAGCACTTACTAGACAAACGCTCTAAACTTCCCATTAATTACAAAAGACTCATATACTTGACTATAATAAGACCTATTTGGACTTACGGAGTTGAGCTATGGGGCTCCACTAAACCATCAAATTCCTCTCGCATCCAATCCTTACAATCCAAAATCCTTCGTAAAATCCTCAATGCTCCTTACTTTGTCACTAATAAAATTATCCATAAAGATCTTAATGTTCCTTATGTTTCAGATCTGGCCCAATCCAGATACCTATCCTTCCATAATAAACTTCAGAATCATCCCAACCCTCTCGTTTCTAACCTTGCTTCCTCTTCAATTCCTGTTAACCCTCCGAGGCGTCTGAAAAGAAGATGGCCCCGTGATCTCCTAATGTAGTCATATCATTAGAGTGCTACCATTGGGTAGTTACTCAGCAAGTGTATTCATGTCATTATATCAATTATGTCCAAATTTACTTGATGTATTTATGTAATACAGTTGTAAATGTCATAAAGAAATAAAAAAAAAAAAAAAAAAAAATTATAGGATATTTGATGAATTTCCTTTATTAAAAATGTATTGCTCAATTAGCGTTTTATAGATTCATTTATTGGCAAAATGAATTTCTTTGATAGAGCTTTAATTGAAATATTTCATGGAAGAGAATTTTCAATTCTGAAATAACAATTGACAATAAAGATTTCAGTCATATCAAAACCAATTGAAAATAAAAATTAACATATCATTTCCAGATCTGTCAGAAACAATAATTCCTTACAGATCACTAAACACAAGATCTTTCTTATAACATTAGCACCTGATAGTAACTAATGGAAATCTTGATTTTATATAGAATGTTACCAGATAATTTCCAGGCTCGGTTTAAGTTTCTAGCTTCTGTTAGACGTTGTCTACCAAAATTTTGAAGTATTACTTGTGCCTCTGGATAATCCTTCATAGCAGCAAGAACATCTTCCCTTGATAGACTAAATAATTCTGAATATCCAACTGATCTAACATCAGCAGTTCGCCTGAAATCACAAATTCCTCGGTCACAATAACTATTTTTCATAATTGATCTGAGGCTTATAATTCAAGTAACTTTGGAAGTAAATACAATATCATAAAATCAGTAATTAAATTGCTTTTCAAAAATTAAGAGGTGATTTAAATAAAAAATATAAAAGTATTGATAAACATACATTAATAAATGAATATTTGTAAGTGTTATACTTGACGGCATGAACTGAACATTTTATTTTGGAAAATGAGTGTTACATTAACATGAATAAATTATTAAATAAATAAATACACACAATATCTCAGTTACAGAGTTTACTGGGAACGTTTTAAGTAATATCTCAAAAGGCTGAAAAGTAAATGCTACAAATTTAATTGGAACCTGAGGAAAGCATGCTGCATACCCAAATTAACCAACGAGCTCATAATTTAACAAATCATCAAAGATAACATAGATAGTGAAGAAGTAGTTCTCATTTTGGAATGTGAAATTGGAAATGCAAAAAGTCAAACATGACAGAAACTTTAGATTTTTAAATGAAATGAAAGGCAATGAAAGAGTTTATCAACTAGAAACAGAAAGAGTAAAAAAGGTAAACCTGGTAAGACAGTAAAAAAAAAATTAAACAAATCATCAATCATGGGGGAGTTGCACAATAATGACAATTGGAATAAAAAGGGAAGCAATGGATTCATTACTTGAAGAAAAGAGATGTGTGCTGATTACATTTTCCATGAAATGAGACTGTTCGATAGTTCTGAATTAAGATTGGGTACTACTATCTTCAGGATCTCATCTACTTCGCCATTGAACTCCTTTTACATTGAAGTTGCAGGACTAAAACATGTCTGCAGTCCACAAGAATTTATCTGAATAATACAATGTTAGAACCACAGCAAAGACTGGGAATGAATTATATAGTGCTGCTAAATGTTGAATGGCTGAATTGACCAGACAATTTGAATAGGGGGTAGACAATCAAGGCATAGTATAAGAAAAATTGTATTGTGAATTGGATATTAATTCTTAAAAATTATAACAAATGTTACTGTAAAAAAACATTCTCTACCAATCATATATCAACTATATTTATAAGATTGTTTAAATTAATGTACAGTTGTTCCTCTGGTCAATAGCTTTGCTGTTTCTGTGCTATTACTAAAACCCATTCAGTTGGCTAGTGTATATGAAGTACTATAGTTTTATTAATTATATTTTTTTTTTGTAACAAAAATAAAAGAAATTACGAGTCATTAATAAGTATTGTTTACGAAATCTGTAATGTCATTTAATAGGCAATGTTTTTAAGAAGTTAACATATCTATTAATGTATAAGTATGGTGTAGTCCTTTATACATGTTACTTCAATTACTTACTTTCACGGTGATTCATGTTATTCTGTTATGTAAAATGTTATCCATGATTTTAAAATACTTACTTGTTTAATCCATCTAAGTTTAGAATACCAATTTCTCCAAAAAAGTCTCCTGCTTGCATAGTTGTAAGGACACGACCAGTTTCACTGTTAAAAATGATTATGTTCAGTTAATAATTAATATATGCTTTGTGTAAAAGTAGTTATTTTATTTCTATCCAAGCATCCTAGAGGAATCTGGGATGTTATTAAAAAATATATTTATAAATAAATAAAAGAAGCCTATCCTAAGCTTAGAATCACCAGGGCTCTACTTGGTACCAAGAATCGGAAGATGGGTCTAATTGATGCTAAATGGCAATCATTGTTGGTGCAGCAAAGTATTAACTTTGGACACAGTGCCACATAACAATAATTATTATTATTATAAATGATTAATATTTTTAAAAAAGATGATTAACGGGGTAAGAAAACACACTTATCTTATTATGTGTTAAGTCAACAAAAATGGATGTTTAGAAATATCCATTTTTATATAGGATATATAGTTGACTATAGAAAGTGTAATGATGCAAAGTGCTAAAAAAATTGTTTATTGAGTTTGCCAACATTTCAACCAAAACATGAGGTCAAAATCAGAGCAATGGTTTGAATGGCAAACAAGAACGGTCGAAAATGGATTATATGTATATGTAACGTTTTCCAATATCTTTGATACCATTTGGAATTTCCTTGAAATCTATGGAAATACTGAATTTACAAAAAAAATCAATAATATATATGTGTGTGTGTGTGTGTGTGTATAAAACTGACTTTGTGAATGCTATTAAAGATTATATGATTACTTTTACACTTTATTCAGTCATCCATGTTTCTGAAGATTTTTTTATTTAAAGTTTTAACATATTGGTTAAATAAATATAATCTTATTATATATTATTAAACCTCTGATCTGTAAATTTAATTTTGTATTTACATTTTTACCTAATGTATTTTTTAAATTAATAAATAGAGGTTTTAATTTTGTTTTATAAACTCCAGATTAACCAGATCTCTTACTTAACCAACCATGGTGTCACCCCCAAATAAGACAGATGAACTGTATTCCCGACTCTTTTTTTTATCTCTATAGTAGACTTCTCTATCATCTGGTTTAATTGAAGCATATTGTTAAGATACAAACATACAAAATTCTGAACCCAAGATCCTCCATTTTTTTAGTGATACAGTTTTTTTTTTTGTTTTGTTTTTTACATTATGCAGGTTAATTTGAAACCACAAACCTCATCACTTCTAATATTCCATCTGCAATAATGAACATTTCTCTTGCTACTTCTCCTTTTCGGCATATTAAGTCACCAGGTGTAAATATATATGCTTTCATTTTTAACACCAAATCATGTAGAAATTCTGGCTGGCATTTTTGAAAAATAGTAACCTAGAAAAAAAAACATTAGTTTTTCTTAAAATGAAGCTGTTTTTTCTACTTTTTAAAAAAAAATTGTGACATTTTTTGGAGTATTATTCAAATTTGGTGAACCACAGGTAAATTAAAAAAAACATTAATATTATTATGTCATTAAATATTATTTTAAATACAGTTATTTTTTAAATCAATGTTTATATACTATTTAAAAGCGAATTTAATCTAATCTTATTAATAAGACCCTACACCATGACCTTAGCATCCCATTTGTCCTCGACATCATCCCATCCGGATTCTCAAACTTTCACCAGAACCTTATCCATCATCCAAATCCTCTAGCTCAATCCCTATCCAGCTCCCACCATCCCTACAATCCCCCTCGAAGGTTAAAACGGCAGTGGCCGCGAGATCTATTGTAAATATGCTTCTGGAGTCCTGGCAATAGCCAGCTTCTCCACTCAAGTCCTGAGCATCTGTGGCTGTAGTGCCCTCCTTCAGCCTCCACTGGCTTTTAATACTAGTGATGCGGCTGGAAAAGTGGCACTGGGATCTCTGGAGTTCTGCTTTGCTTTCCACATGTGGGGAGAGAAGCCTGGCTCGGAGATTCCTGGGCGAATGTATATATTGTATATAGGTATGAATGTGTTTAGAAGTTGTTATTTTATTTTGTTTGTTTATTTTTTTTTTTAATTTTATTTATTAATTTATTTTTTTTCCTATTGATTTACTTTTTTTTATAAGTATTATTTATTTACTTCTTATATTTATAGTTACTTCTGTATTACTTGTATATACTGTATGAATGAGAACTTCTAGCCTTAATACTTATAGCCCTCCAACAGTGGCTGATTGTATTATTATTCAATAAAAAAAAAAAAAAAAAAAAAAAAAAATCTAATCTTATTAGTAGACTAGTTTGAAATGTATAAGAGTCATTTAAACATTCCAGTCACAGTTGATCACCATTTATTTTGAAAAAATAAATAAATAGAGAAATATCACATTTTTCTACTTCTTAATAATCTTTATTGTTGTTTTAAAAATTTATTAATTTAAGCATACATAATTATCAACTAAACCATTATTATGTCAAATTAAAAAAAAAAAAAAAATATCTTTCATCTTTCAATGGAGATAACTGAGGTGGAGAAGACTGGTTAAGGTTAAAAAGATCTACAAGGTTTGCAAAGCCAACAGGAAAAAAAAACTATATATATAATATTAAAATGTTTTTATTAATCAACCTATATATATATTATAACTTATTATTATTTTTTTTTTTTTGAAATCTATTTATTGAATAATAATACAATCAGCCACTGCTGGAGGGCTATAAGCATTAGGGCTAAAAGTTCTCATTCATACAATATATACAAATAATAAAGAAATAAATATAAATATAAGAAGTAAATAAATAATACTGATGAAGAAGGTAAATAAAAAAAAAAAAAAAAAACAAATAAAATAAAATAAAAACTTCTAAACACAATCATAACTATATACAATATATACATTTGCCCAAGAATCTCCGAGCCAGGCTTTTCCCTCCACACGCGGAAGGCAAAGCAAGACTCCGGAAGATCCCAGTGCCACTTTTCCAGCCGCATCACTAGTATTAGAAGCCAGTGGAGACTGAAAGAGGGCACTACAGCCACAGACGCTCAGGACATGAGTGGAGAAGCTGGCCATTGCCAGGACTCCAAAGGCATATTTACAAAAGATCTCGAGGCCACTGCCGTTTCAACCTTCGAGGGGGATGGTATGGATGCTCGGAGCTGGATAGGGATTGCGCTAGAGGATTGGGATGATGAATGAGGTTCTGGTGAAAGTTGGAGAATCTGGATGGGATGATGTCATGGACATATGGGATGTTAAGGTCATGGTGTAGGGTCTTGTTCGTGACATAATATGGAGCATTGACTATTGTTCGAAGGACTTTGGACTGGAAGGATTGGATGCGTTTGATATTCGATGATTTAGTTGTCCCCCACAGTTCAAGTCCGTAGGTCCAGATAGGTTTCAGTATGGTCTTGTAGATTAATAATTTGTTTTCTGTTGAGAGATGAGATCTTCTGTTTAGTAGTCTATATAGCTGACCAAATCGTCGGTTAAGCTCTTGTCTTTTAAGTCTCGTATGTGGGTTCCAAGTCAGTCTTTTGTCCAGAAGGAAGCCAAGGTATCGGACTGTGTCTGAGTAGGGAAGAGGAATTGAATTAAAAAGGATTGGCGGACAGGATCTGCGTCGAAGAGTGAAAGTTACATACTTGCATTTTGATTCATTAATTTTGATGCGCCAGTTGTTGCACCACTGCTCAATGAAGGAAAGGTGTCTTTGCAGGTTCTGGGACGCTATTAGAGGATCCGAGTGGGAGGATAGGATGGCAGTATCATCAGCAAATGTTGCTAGGAAGGTATCAGGACTTGAAGGGATGTCAGCGGTGAAAAGGATATAGAGAACTGGGCCCAAGACACTGCCTTGTGGAACACCAGCCTCAATTGGATAATGTTTGGAGAGTTCAGTGCCGCAGCGGACTTGAAAGGAGCGATTTGAAAGGTAAGATTTGAGGACTAGGTACAAGGGTTGAGGTAAATGGGTTTTGAGCTTGAAAAGCAAGCCATCGTGCCACACCCGGTCGAAAGCTTGAGCTACGTCCAGAAAGGCACCAGTGCAATATTGCTTGTTTTCAAGTGCAGAGGATATGTGGTCCACAACGCGAAGGCCTTGTTGGACAGTGGAGTGTCTTGAGCGGAATCCAAACTGATGGGAAGGGATATTGTGGGATTCGAGTATGGGTAGGATGCGTTTGAGAAGGATTTTCTCAAAGATTTTGGAAAGGATCGGAAGTAAGCTTATCGGTCTATAGGATGATGTATAATTAACAGGTTTACTTGGTTTAGGAAAGAGGATAATTATGGAGTGTTTCCACACCAGGGGAAAGTGGGTTGTGCGGAGGATACAGTTGAATAGATAAGGTAAGGAATATAATTGCTTTTTTGGGAAGTTGTCTGAGGATCTGGGAAGTAAGGAGATCGTGTCCTGGAGATTTGCGAGATTTTAGGTTCTTTAAAAGGAATTTGACCTCAGAGGGGTTGACGGCTGTAGGAGGTAACGAGAGAGGAATCGATGAAGAGAGGAATTCTTTAACTTCAGCAGTATGTTAGGGATGGAGTTCAGGATGAGGAGTGAATGTGTACGATAGATGTTTAGCAAACTCTTCTGCTCTATTCTCATCTGACGAAGCCTAGGAACCATCATCACGGCGGAGGGGGTGGGAAATGGATTGGAATTTAAGGATTTTTTTTGTTACATTCCAGAGGGAGTTATCACTTGCAGATAGTGAGGAAAGATAGGAATTATAGGATTGGGATCTAAACGTAGCCAGTTTTTGTTTTACCTGCTTGGAATAATAGTTATATGATTTCCGATCATCAGGATGCCTGGTTCTTTGCCAGATGGTCCTAGAGCATCGTTTCCTATTAATAAGGTCCAGTAGGTCTTGGGGTAGAGGATTTATTTTTTAGAAGGATCAAGTGAAGATGCAGTCCAAACTGCTTGTTGGATCAAGGTAGTCATGGAATATACTGCTTCATCTAGGTCTTCAGGTGTTTTTAAGGAAACTCTGAGGTCAATATTATCATCCAGTATTTGACGGAAGAGGTTCCAATTAACTGGCCCCCTGATAAATGAAGGTGGAGGTGGTTTGGGAATTGGTGATGTGGAGACCGTTAGGATTAGGGGACTATGGTCTGAGGAAAGATCATCAAGTCTTGAAATGCTATAATTAAGGGACCCTAGACCTTTGTGGATGAAAAAATCTAGGAGATCGGGATTGCGGTTAGGATCTGTTGGCCAGTATGTGGGAGAATTGGGTGAGAGGATGTTGCTGTGATGGGAATTAAGTGCAGATAGCAATGTTCGTCCTCTGGAATTTGTGGTTCTGGCTCCCCATTGCTGGTGTTTAGCATTTAAGTCTGCACCTAGAAGGAAGTGGTGTCCTAAGGAGTTAAGGAAGGAAGTTAGTTGGGATTCTGAGATAGGTATTTTAGGCGGGGAGTATGCTGCGACTACTGCTATTGGGTAAGGAGAAGTTTGGATTATCACGGCAGTGGATTGTAGGAAATTATGGGTCGGCAAAGGGAATAGGTGATGGGAAAGGGATTGATGGATAATTATGGCAGTGCCAGCATGTGCTGTTCCATCAGGATGGTCGGTTCGATAGATATGATAGTTGGGGATGTTAAGTGGTCGTTTGTTGGTAAGTCGAGTTTCAGTTATTAATGCTACATCAATGTTTTTGTCCTGTAATAAGATTGTTAGCTCGTTGATGTGATTTCGAATACCATTCGCATTCCAAAGGAGGACGGAGAGGGATTTGATTGGGGAAATTTAAGGATTTCTCGGCAGTGGGATGAGGTTGGATACGACATTGGTAAGTAAGGAAATGAGAGGAGTGATGAGTGATCTGAATTCAGAGAGAAAAGAAGTCAATAGGCTTGTGAGGTCAGTGGCATTGGGAGGAGGAGGAATGAATGCCTGGTTATTAGGCCTAGGTTCAGAGATGGGATAAGGGTCTTGAGGTTGAGATGTGAATACTCGAGGTTGAGGTTCTTGTGGCAGGGCCTGAGTTTGTGTGGGTGCAGTATCTCCTTTGAATATCTGAGCATAGGACACTCTTGTATTTACAGTTCTAGAGGGTTGTCTTGGTGGCCTGGATGGCCGTTCTTCTCTTGGAGCTGAATAAATTCTTACTTTTAGTTCCTTATATGTTTGGCAACCCTTGTAGTTCGCTGGGTGCCCTTGATGGCATAAAGCGCATACAGCTGGTGTTCTTCTGGACTTCTGGCAGTCCTCTGTTTTATGTTTATCACCGCACCGTACACATCTAGGAATGTGGTGGCAATAGCGTTTCGTATGACCATAAGCCTGGCAGTTATGGCATTGTACAATGTCGCGCTTAGTGTAGGGCTTTTCTACAACAACGCTAGTGTAGTAAAGGCGTGTGACCTTGTAG